CTTAGGTGGTTCTAGATACAAAGAAGCCTACAAGTAATAGTCTTTATTATAACCACTGACGTGTCAGCCAAGCAGTCATTGACTGTTCTACATGCAAACAATACCTGTTTTGTATACCCTGACGATAGCTAATATAGTTTGTTTATATATAATATTATATGTTATAATCGTCAGAAATCTTTGAGCCGTCGATATTTAAACTGTTCGTTTTCTTCTAGTGGAGTGGTTTAAGCGCGGTTTTGTCTTTGTGATCTCGTGTTCAAAGCTCAAGCAGAATAATAAAAATCTGCCGCGCCTAAATAAATAGACTCGTCGAGAAGGGAAAAGAATTATTACTAATTTAGTAAATTAGTTTTTAGCTTCTGTATATTTTCAAAGTGAGGTATATTTTTACACCTACCATATTTGTAAATATCTCATTATTCTGTCGTTTAATTCTTTATCTATGTAATCGCTCTGATAATTTGTACAAAGCATTCAAAGCTTCGATCAGCCCAGATGCGGTAAGATTCAAAAATTTAGATTGTCACTGTTCGATTCTAGAAATTTGCCTGATTTGCATGTGTGCAAGTAAAGTGGTCGGTTTTCAGACAAAATGCTGTGATGAACTACACTGAGGTCGAATCGAAAGTACGCGAAGCGACGAACGACGATCCATGGGGTCCGACGGGCCCGTTGATGGCGGAAATCGCACAGTCGACCAATGCCTACGACCAGTTTCCCGAGGTGATGTCTATGCTGTGGAAGCGTATGCTGCTGGACAGCAAGAAAAATTGGGTCAGAGTTTATAAGGTGAGGCTATACCCATTTCTTACCCTACGTTTTTCAGCCATTTTGTCCTTACGGTAAGGGGTCTGTGCGCCAAAGATTTGTTTGACTGGTCTTAATAGGCACCCACTGCCGTTGGCTAACCATATCAGTGGTCTAAATTGCCTTTGAATATCGACACTTCGATATGCATCTGAAACACGTAGTGGTTTTGCCCATATGCAGGCAGTATCTTTTCACACTTAAAGGGCCGGAAGAAAATTTCAGTTAGACAAAGAGTATTAGTCGTTGCCTAGATTTCTGTCTGACGCACTGCGGTCGAACAGGTTTTGCTTTACGGTCAACGAACGCCTGCGTCAACAAGGACACACCGAACGCTGCCCTGTCACGCTGGTTACGCCATCGAATGGTTATAAATTTTCGAAAGTGCGATATTGCATTGAAGAACCGGCATTTCGGTGATCACAAACTGCCCCATTCTTTTTCCTTCTTATATCAGTCTTTAGTTTTTGCATTTTGGTGACGTATTTATAATGTTTCAGTCGTTAATTCTTCTCGAATACCTGATCAAGAGCGCATCTGAAAGAGTGATAACCAATGCCAGGGAACATCTGTTCGATCTGCGCCTTTTGGAGAACTACCAATACTTCGACGAGAAAGGCAAAGATCAAGGATATCGAGGTACTTCTGCTTTTGTAATTGTCTTTTTCTAGAACGTGTCATTACGTGGCGAAAGCTTTGATTTGAAACTTTAAACTTTCTAAAAGTCACAGAAGGCAAAAACTACAAAAAAGTAAATTATTGTTGTCAAGTTGCAGTGCAGATTAAATTTCGCAACTAACAACTGGCTAATCAACATGCAGTGTCCCAGAATTAATGCAGCATCAGTTTAATCCGTGATCTGTGCAAAATGATTATCTCCTATCACATGGACTGTGATATCCCCTGTCCAAAATAGGCGATTCTACAGTAGAAGCTACTGAAGCACGAGTAAGGTCTAAAAATATGTTGTGGCAAAAGGCATGATAAAACCGGATTGGATAGATTAAATGCCAAAAAAAATAAGAATTCCCATTGATGAAGCTGATACTTTGGTGTTAAGCATTTTTAAAACTGTCTTAGATTGCTAGTTAATCTCTGACCGATGACCGTTAGTAGGATAGCCCTCTTGTTCATATAGGCATAAAACTTCCTTTTCATCCTTCTCTCTAGCATGTTACTTACACATGTTATTTTCGCATGATCAGGCTGGACCGAATAATCTCCACTCTCCACCGAATAATCTTTGTAGTAATCG